GGGTGCGGGGGTGCCCTTTAGTCGTTCTTTGGTTGGCTCCTTGCTTGCTTGCGCTCGCTCGCTCGCTCGCTCATTTCGCCGCTCCCTCACTGGTTTTTTTTTTTTGGCCTCAGATCGACACCATTCTGTCCACGAAAAACAACACCCGTAACCATGGAGAAGGTCAAAGATCTTTCTTGACATTCTTGAAGAGTGGAGCGCTAAGAATTTCCTCGCCAGTGACTGCGGATCTTTGAACATTGGTTTGCATACGGGCGCGTATTTTCGAACGATGTGCGACCAGGTCCACGAAACCCGGTGCGATGTTTGCCACTTCTAACTTGTCGCGCACGGATTTCATTAACGTCATTGAACTCCAATCGTCGGGTCTGTAACAAATGAAAGTGTGTGCAATGTATGTAATGTGTGTGCACTCTGAATAAAAGTGTGTGCACTCTGAATAAAAGTGTGTGCACTCTGAATAAAAGTGTGTGCACTCGGAGTAAAAGTGTGTGCACTCGGAGTAAAAGTGTGTGTATAGTACATTGCGAAGGATGAGTGTTTATCTTGTTGGTGTACGGCTTCAAGTTCGAGTAAGAAGAGGTGCATCGTGATGAGTGAGTCATAGCCGGCCTCATGTTCTTTGGCGGTGGCGAGTCTAGCCTTTTTATTGGCCCCTTCTTTTTGTCCTCCCTCTCCAGAATGCTTCCGTTTTGATTCATTACTTGTTGGGGAGTTATCGCCCTTTGCAATTGACTTCTGGTTAGGATGGGTGGGAGGATGAGTGGGAGGATGAGTGGGAGTATGAGTGGGAGGATGAGTGGGTCGGATAGGATCATTGAGTATGTAGAGGGAATGTGGGTCTAGGATACATTTGACCTTCGATCCGTGTGTATGTAGAAGGAAGCGGAGACTGTCTAGACTTGTTGCTCCACGGTTGGATCCAAGTCGCGGGAATACAAATTCGCGACCTTCCGCAGCTATACGTTTAGTATCATAGATACCACCCGGAAATAAACGAACGATCTCCTTACCGAAGTCTGTCAACGTCTCCGGTAGCGGTGCAATGAACTTGTCATACACATGTAACAAATCCAGCAAACCATTGTGCAACACCACCGGCTTCCCATACTCGATTATTGTCTCGATGATACGCTGAGCACCATTCAATTTGACTGAATCTGCAACCGATTTATACACACAAGTAACATCCTGCAACCGCTCGTAATCTAGCCCATCATGTACCCACCGGTTCAAATCAAAGCCTTGCTCCTGTAGCCATGATAAACATAAGCTATCACACCCAAACACCGTCCGTCGGTCTCGCGGGTACAAGTGGAAGTTGTATGGACACAATACAAACCGACTTGCACCGTCATGTAACACACCGCCCAACGCGCCATCAGCTATAACGTCACCCAAACCACCCGAAAGGAAATCTCCAGAACCCTGATTCGAATCCTGTCCCTGGCCGGAATCCTGTCCCTGGCCGGAAGCTGGCGCCTGGCCGGAAGCTGGTGTCTGGCCGGAAGCTAGCGCCTGGCCGGAAGCTGGCGCCTGGCCGGAAGCTGGCGCCTGGCCGGAAGCTGGCGCCTGGTGAGCCTCCGCGTCCGGTTCTAGCTCCGCGTCCGGTCTCGGAGACTCGTCCGACCGTTTCCGTCGTCCCCGGCGGCGCTTCCCGGTCCGTTCCGCTCGGCCGTCATCCCCCCCTACCGCAGTGTGTTCCGGGTCCCCCGCTGGTTCGGGTGACCGCCGTCCCGAAACCTGTTCACGCGAGTTCGAATCCAGCCGCCGTGCACAACACACACCCAGCTGCACCGCCATGAACTTCTCCACCGACTGCGAACAGTGTGTATAGTACTCTTCTACAGTAGCCGACTTCTTATTGTTCACAAACAATCCAGAAAACTCTACAACAAGCCACTAATCAGTAGGGGAACAACCCCCCAAGTAGGTCACTAGTGGTGGCCAGTTCGCGTCCAGTTAGTTTATCACCGTGGTGTTGTTTCTCGTAGTGTTAGTTACCTAAATCCAAAGCCACGAAATCGGCTCTCCTAATCTCTTCGATGCAATCAGATAATAAGTCAGTCGTCATCTCGCACCTTTCTGCACCTATGCCTTCTGTTGCATTCAAGCTATTCCAAGTACGGCACTGCTTCCTGCCAGAACACTTTTTTAAATTCAGGTGTCATTCGCACTTCAGGTTGCAACAGTCATCGCCCGAACCATTTGTGGTGATGTATGGGGCGGTATCTGCGACACCGGTATGTCCCCCCCCCCCTCTGGCCTTGACCACCGATCGTGTTTTAGGTTTGTTATATATCGGCATGAAAGCAATGGAGGAGCAGTCACCACTAATGTACTGGTTCTACATCCTGCCGTGTCTGTTCGAGGGTCTGGCTTTGCTGACATCTTTGTCTCCAGATGCACCTAAAACGAGTCCACTAGCACGGCTACCGGCATGGCTTCTGTTGTTTGCCAGTTTTGTGAACATTCTCTCGGCCGTCGTGGCAATGCGCATTGCCTCACGTTATGCAGAACGTAACTTACTGCCCACAGCTTACCTTCGCCCAGATGCTGCCGGCCGCTTGATCTATACCCGTGGTGATACCGTTTCCGACCTCGTCAACGGACCGCCTGAACACATCAAATATCACACCGTCTCTTTGAGCAGCGACTCTGACAACCAGTCGTCGCCCCGTGGCACGCCAGAACAACCTCCTGTCGCTACCACTCCTGTCGCTATCACACCTGAACCTTTCACCGCCGCCGCTGCCGCCGTCTAACAACCGCGGGGACATTGGTGCGGAACAGCATAACTTCACACCCACAGGGACAACGTTCGAAACCCGACGACACCCACAAAACTTTTCTACAAACGCTAGACGCAGGTTCGTCTCTTTCTCCGGAGCTTCTTACCTACCACTTCCGAAGCACCGCCTCAAACAAATCCCTCCACACAAGAGTTAGTTAGTCAAACTCCGTCGGGGCTGACTGCTCACCTCTCAACCTCGTGGCGCCTCTCAACCTCGTGGCGCCTGTCACAGCTTCCTGGAATATAGTGTTCGTGCCCAAAATACCTTCTCGCGACTACGAGTGCCCTCAGACTACGAGACCTGTCGCAGTACGGGTGCAGCCGCAGTGCGGGTGCAGCCGCAGTACGGGTGCAGCCGCAGTACGGGTGCAGCCGCAGAGGTCTTGGTCTAGGTCTTCAAGTCGTCAGGTGCAAGTCTTGTCGGGGTTGCAGGTCCGCAAATTCGATATAGCGACAGGCGACGAGGACGGCGTCGACGAGGTTAGTGAACCCGGCCGTGACGGCGGCACAGGCGATGAGTTGTAGTCCCCAGTCGGAGAGGAAGTATTCGTTCTGACACTCGTTGTCGCTGCCGCCGTTGTGTTCGAACAAGTCGACTCGGCGATCGACGACGTCTGAAAAGGAACCGTCACTTACAGAGTTGACCGTAGACTTACAAAATTGACTTTGAAGTGCTTGCACGAGGTCCTCGACCCGGTCCAAGTTGCTTTCGGCCATGTGGGCTCGGAAGCTCGGTGGAAGTTCTCCAAACCATCTAACGAAATACCAAAACCGTCAGATTGTGGGGGACCGTCTTATTGCGGGAGGTCAATAGATAGGGGGGAAGGAAATGACCAGATGGGGGGAAGGAAATGACCAGATGGGGGGGAAGGAAATGACCAGATGGGGGGGAAGGAAATGACCAGATGGGGAAGGTGTTTTTTACTCATCGAGTTTAAGTGAGAGTGTAGTGCAGGCTAGTACAAGAGCCCGGAATTTTTTCTCATGGAGGAGTGCTTCGATGGTTTTAAGTATGGTGTTGCGTAGTGCGTAGATGACGCAGTCATCGTTGGTATCGATGGAGCTACTGAATGCAGATGTTGGTGACAGTTTGCGTTCAGGGGGCAGTGCGTGCATGACGATGAAAGCGTAGACATCTTGCACGACAATCGCATCTGCGTTGAGTAGTGCTGTATGAAGGAGTTCGCAGGCGTAGACGGCCCTTACGTCGCCGGGTCCGACGAGTTGTTGAAGAGGTAGAAGCATGCTACATGCCGCCCGTAGATCGTGAGACTGCAGGATGGTGTAAAAGGCACCAGGGAGCGACACTTGGGCCAACGGGAAGAGCACGAACGCCGCCACCAGTGGCTCATGTACCCGACTTAATCGAGCAAACTCCTTCAGCGAGTCTACTGGATAACGAGCATGCAAGTATCGCAACAATCCTGACAACGCACGCACAGACGGATCTCGACCACAACGCAGCAATGCCCTCTGCACCTCCTCCACAGTCATCACCTCTCCCAACATACTCAAACCGCCTCCCGACTGGGACGTCTCCACACCAGACCCAATGACTCCGGGCTTGGGTGCAGACACAAATCCAGACCGCATACTCACCGGAGTGCCTGAGGCGAGACCCCCCGAAGGCAGACCAACCGAAAGCAGACCACCCGAAGGCGGACCGCCTGAGGCAGGTCGACTCAGCGCCGCGGAACCGGTGGCTGCTTCCTCGACCAAGCCTGTCGCGCGTCCAGCGATACCGCGCTCGGGAGTTGCACGTCCAGGGGCTACACGTCCAGGGGTTGCACGTCCAGGTGAGCCGTTAGCGGCCGTTTTGACGGCGTCGATTGCGACGGTGAGTAGGTGCGTCACTAAGTCGAAAAGCGTGGCCTTGGAGAGTTGATTGAAGAGCGCGGAACGGCGCGGTTCGTGGTAGAAGGGGCTAGTGGGGCTGGTGCAAAAGTCAAGCACGGCGGAGGCGAGGAATCGGCGTGATCGAAGTCCGATAAAATTGCCCTTGTCCACTGCAGAAACCAGACAGTCTGCGGTCGCATCCGCCGCCATCAGGATGCCTCCCGACCACGACTGAGGGCCACTAGCCCAGGAGCCCGGGAGGCCGGGGCTGGGGGTGGCAAGAGGTGGTACCTGGGGCGTAACGGCTGCCCGCTCACCGTTTTGTTCTCCGTCCGCAACAGGCGACCTCGCGCCAAGTTTGGCGCCAGCGCCGGCATGGAGTGCGAAGACGCTGACAGCGTAGCGGAGAGTGTAGAGTTTGGCTGTCTTGTCACTGACAGGTGGTAGTGCCCGCGGACAGATGAGCGAAATGGGTGCGTAAGGGTGAAGTTGGAGTGAGACGAGGATATGTTGCACACCGTCCCGTGTCTTGGCGATGAGTGAGACACCGCCGATGGTAGGGTCCGCGGCGTCGGTTGTGGTGGTGTCAGTGGCTTCGTGTAATTCGCGGAGTCGACCTGCGCACTCCAGCTGCGTCCGTTCTGCGCGTTGTGTGCGCTCTAGCGCTTCGATGGACTCGCGCCGCCGACCTCGCGCTAACAAATTCGCCGACACTCTTGGACTCGACGGCACGAACACTTCAGATCCCTCCGAGTAAGCCGACTCCGACCCCACGCTCGGCCCACTTATCGGCGCCCTACCTCCCTCCGGCTGGACCGCCTTCTGGGCCGTTCGGCTGTCTTCAAATACCCCATCCCGCCCCCCGTTGGGAATCGAACTCGGACCTTCCCGCTCCTCAGATGAGCCGTCCTTTCTTCGCTCTCGGTCCCACGACACGTCTTCGGGGTCGTCATCGTCGTCCTCAAGGCGAAGCGTTACGCTGGAAGAGAGCGACGTGTTATCGAAAGACAGTCTTTTGGCGATGAGCCCGCTCACTACGTTCCAACCGGCTCCGACCAAGTCGCTGTCCTCCTCGTCGTCTTCATCCGCGCTCTGATCACTCTCACCGCGGATTACCAGTTTGCGGGGTGAGGCGCGATGTCGCGGGAACAAGTGGCTGCGCTTAGGCGCCATCCGCACCTGCCGTTGCGCCGGCGACAGACTCCCCACCGCGCCAGCCGCTACGACCACGCCCGGACCGGGCACTGGCAACAACCTGCCCGCCTCCACCACGGAGCCGTCTCTGTCGCTGGCCATGTCTCTGCCTCGAGTTTCAGTCCCGTCTTGATTTCTTCCATCTGGAGTTTTGTCTTGAGCAGTCTGATTCAAAGGACTAGTACCCCTGGCAGGGGTGAGAGTACCCCTGGCAGGGGTGCGAGTACCAGAGCGGGCGGAGCTACGTTGCATATCGATGCTGGCTGCGCGTTTGCGAGGCGAGAGTTCGGGGTCTGCAGCAGCGTCTGTGCGTAGCATGTACTCGATCCCGACGACGTCGTGTTTGGTTGGGAAATGGCCGGTCGTGGTGACGGGCAGGATTTGGGAGCAGTCAGTGGCGATGGGGTCTGAGAGGACAAAGGCGACGTGCGCATAAAATGCGGGTCGGCGGTAGGAGCCGATGGAGGTCTTATTGAGCACGACGCTACCAAGCCGAAGTGTATCCTTCTCGTCTGTCACGAGATAAGTGAAGAGGTCCGAGGCAAATGTCAACGACTTGAGCGGCGCTGGCGTCCTTGCCACGTACAAGCAATCGAAGCACCACAGCTTCGTCGCCGGCAACGCATTCGTTCCGGGCACGCCAGCCGGCGTTGCCGCCGCATCCGAGATCGAAGCACTCCGACCCAAGACGCGATTCGGCGTGGTGTCTTTGGAACCCTTCCGCGCCTCACTGTGCTTACCCAATACGTAGCCGAGCTGCTGGTTCTCTTTCAACGCCGAAAACTCGACGCTGCCCTTCGGCGCGTACGCCGCACACGTGTGTGTGCCGGTGCATATGCTAACAAACGGATGTGGCCGATAACAGGCAATCGAGTTCTGAGGGTAGTAAACGCAAAACGGCGGCGGGAACGCCTCGTCGAACTTGAGCCGGAGTCCCTGACTCGTCACGCCCGCTAGCGGCAACTCTCGGCTCGGCGTACTCGTTTGAACCAACTCCAACACCGCCCGGAAACGCGCGTCCTGCAACCTCGCCTCCTTCGAACCCTCCAGGGTCTGCCACGTCGGCACCAGACATGGTGCCCAGCGGTTTTGAGCCGCAAGCACCGTCAACAACAGCGGACAAGACACAGTTGGTTTCAACTTGCCGCGGAACCTCAAGCACAGCGTTCCGGCGGACACAGTCGCCGCGGCAGCGGCGGCTGTGCCGCCGCCGCCGACCATGCCTGTCAGGCCGGCGAAGCCGCCGGCGATACCGCCGGCGATGTTGCCGGCGAGCGTGGTCACGCCGGTAGTGGTAGAGCCGGTGGCAGTGTTACTGCGTTCGTTGGTGCCTTCGGCAGCGTTCGGCTCCACTTCGAAAAATATAGTGGAGAAGAGCGTCGTGCCGACGCCGTGAACGCTGAGACACACGGTGAAGTATAGGATGGTGTCGGTGAGCCAGCCCATGGCACCACGGGGCATGAGGGTCGGTCCGACGTTGAGGGTATACCAGACGCGTCCGTCGCCCACGACGAGGCGTCCAAAGACGCGCAGGTCGACCGTGAACAAATAACTGTGTTCCGGTGACTCGAATACACGGTCGCAATACAACGGCTTCGTCAACAGGTCTAGACGAGGCATGGCGCCCGCGTCCACGTAGCGGTAATAGTTAGTCTTGCCACGTAGCACCACCCGACTGGACGGTGAGACCAAACAATTGCCTGGAATTACGACGTCGTACACACTCAATAAATTGCGCACACCTATCAACACCTTCGTGCAATCTGATGCCCACAATACCGGCGGACTCCGAGAAGGTACACGCAATGTCTGTGTCAACTCGCCTGCCCTTGTGTACCAATATAGCGTGCTACTTCCCGGTCCCACGGCCCCCTCGGCACTTTGGTCCTTTAAACTTCGACCTTCCTTTAAACTTGGGCTTTGCGGACTTTGGTCATCGGGAGGACTCTGGCCATTGGGGGGGCTCT